TTACTTATAGAAAATGACACCCTACTGATACACAGTGAAGTTTAGAATGGGACACCAAACATGTCCAGTCAGTCCTAATAAAAAACTCATTAATTTAAAAAAAAAAAAAAACATTTTGAGAAACCCTCATAGAATTCTATTTTATTCTGTTTTAATAGGTGTTGCCTCACCATGTTTGCGAAGATGCTCCACCATCCTCTGCACCACCAGAGGGACTCCATCCTCCACCAGGCCCTTCTCTCGCAGCTCAAACAGGGACACTCCAAACAGCCTGGTGTGCTTGGCTGCCACTGTTCTGGTTCTGAGGATGGGTATCTGGACCATCTTCTTCATGTCCTCTTTGACCTGCACTGCCGTCTTGTTGTGCTGCAGGGAGAGCAGAGAGCAGCAGTCAGCCCAGGCACAGAGGGCAGCGCTGGAGCATCAGGTTAGACGCCACTGAGACACACGTCCTGGAAGAAAGCTCACTGTGCTCACTCTGCTCCACAGACTGTAAATAAAGGGAGTGTGCGAGGCTGCTGATGGTGACTCTGTGGAGTCCATGCTTGCACACCTCCTGCTGTCGCGCTGTCATGCTCCTAGAGGACAGTGTGTGCTGAGAGCGAGAGGGGAGGGCTGACTGTGCATGTGTTGCTACGACAAATATCAGGTTACCATGCGACACCTTTGGATAAAGGCATTGCCAGAGTGACACACACACCTGCACAAATAGACATACAGACAGGTGATGAATGAAAGGAAAAGTCAGAAAACTTGACTCTGTTGTGCTGCAGGGGGCATTTTGTTTGCATAGTTTGGATCCACTTGTCACCAAACAGGAAGGAGTCACTGTAAATCAATACAAATTTGTTTTGATTGTTCACTTTTATCCTACAATGACACATTGCCTTCATCCACGAAAGTAACATAAATCATATTCAGATGCACTGAAGCTGTTCTGGTAGCCCAACATGTCATTAAGATGCTTTATTTAGTTTTTTTCTTTTAATTTATCACCTGTCTGTATGAATACATATGTAGAAAAACACAAAGTGTACTGTACATGTTCAGGTGAGGTAATACATGTTCAGGTGTCTTGAACATTCATTTTCATGAAAAGAAAGGAGAACAGATTAAACAGAGTAGTGAAAATGAGAGCTGGAAGGATCACCAGACCAAATGGCCTTATTTGAACATGAAAGACTTGCAGATTAAAAGGTTTTACTGGAAATCTTCCTGAGTAAACACTGTGCGCTTGTTAGGAATCTATGAATGTGTGTGTGTGCGTGGGGATGTAAATCTGTTTACGCTGTCACATTGTTAGAACTCCCTTTTGGAGATAAAAAATAGGTCCTTTTCATTATATCGTGAAATTGAAGAGTAAATACTTGATTTACAGTTAGGATAATGTGAGGTTTAGGTTGAGGTTTGGGTGAGGTTTGCAAGCAAATTTATTTTTATATAGCACCTTATTGTACATAGAGGTTAGTCAAAGTGCTTTCAGGCAAAGGATTAAAAACACGTGTGACCAAATACAGCAGGATAAAATTAAATCAAATAAATAACAGACAAGTTAAGGTACAAAACCAGTTGACTAATACAATGCAAAAAGAGAGAAGATAAGAAAAATATAAATAACTCAACTTTACAAGATGAAAGTATTTTTTTTTTTATAGATTACTTAAAAACTGTGAAAATGTAATGCCTGTAGTAGTCTTTTACATATAAAGAGCTAATCTGTAATTGTGTCAGTAAATGTAGTGAAGTAAAAGGTACAATATCTCAGACACAGTGGATTTGAAGTACGAGTACCTGAAAATTGTAATACTGACAATATAAGTAAGTCAAATTAGCTGAGTTGATGTACATAGTTACTGTCCACCACTGATTCTCTAATTGCCAAGTCGACCCCATTCCATTCAAGTCAGAGCCTCAGTATATTATGTGTATTTACCATCTGTCTTACCTGATATGTTATCAAAGCAAACAGTGCCACATGGTCTCTGTCTCCTCATATAGGTACTCAGACTGTACAGCCCTCTCTCTTGCGACCTTTCTATGACGGTAAACACTGAGTATATAAACGCACACGCTCCCTACAGAACATCATCTTCATTCAGCGTCATTAGATAGAGCAGGATAAATTACTGATCCAATTGGCACGTTTAACTGCAGTGTTGTCAGTTTCTGTCTTTGTTGAGTCAGGACTCGGAGCAACAAACCAAGAGCAGGTTTTGGACGCTGGGTGAGGACGAAAACACTTCCTGCACCTTCTGAGTGACACAGAGTCAGGGTGAGTTTTACTGCTGTAGTCATAGTTACAACCAAACCACGTCACATGTTGTCGTTCCACAGTTTACCACCTCAAACTGACCCTCACAGCAAAATGAGAGACCTCGCCTATAATGTGGCCATGCTGAGGTCAATAGTGGCACAGTGGGAACGAATTCACCCTGAATTTATCCTCTTTGTGACCAGTTTGGACAGAATGGGCACAGACATGTGCCACAGTCAGGTCAGCTGATTAAAGCCCACCTCACAGATGGTGGTAAGATGGCTAAGGAGGCAAATCTTTACCGTGGCATATGCTGCTGCAGTGGTAATACAAAATGCATTAACACCCAAATGAGTGTCTGAGAAGTGCATTGGGATGTGCATATTGCATAAAAATAATGCAACTGCACCTTCTTGGAAGATGTGAAATGGTAATTCAGTACACTTGTATTTTGATTTTGACTTCTTCACGCTTGGCTGACTGCTTGAGGCGTACTAATATTTAACAGGCTGCTCTGTCACCACTGTGGCCTCAGATGTGAGGAGACGTTAGCTATGAATAAGTTACAAATAAGAAGTCTGAATAGCAAGAAAGCCATGATTGTATTGCATAAAGTTAAGCGTATTAGATTCTGAAGGATGTATTTAAATATTTTTCTTCTAACTATATAACAGAGGACACATTATCCTAAAATGTTGTCTCTACTTTTTAATTCTGATACGTCTTTATGATGCAGGATAAGATGTATTAATATGATTTTAAGGATGGAAATTGGGTTTCTGGCAAGCTTTTCAAATGTAATTGCATTTTCATCAATATTGTCCTTTAGGCTACCAGGTTGTTCTGCTTATAGTATATTTGATAAATACAGCAGTCCATTGGTAATCATGTTCACAGCACAGATTGTTGCAATGGATGAACCCTGCAGGGCTACAAATTGGCCTCCTCTCGTACTACTGCTGCAGGTGTTAAAGAGTTAAGCTGGTCTGAGCTTGCGCTGACTGTGATAGGCCTTACTGAACAGATGCCCCCTAAATCTGTCTTTACTATCATGCACACCCACACACACCCACAAAATAACCACACACATTTTCTTACTCTGCATATGCACACTGCCTCAAAGAAGCCTTAACAGGAGACATCCAACAACAGCAAATGGCACAAGTAAAGTGGTTCAGTCTCAACTCTTACAGCAATATACAGGATGAATAGAAAAGTTCCCAGATATATAAAAAACAAACTTGTGACAAACTTGTAGACACAAATAGCTCAACAGTAAATGTGCCACTGAGCCAACGGACAGTACAGTATAAGTAAAACTTTCAAAAATCAAAAAATAAACCCACATTGTCTTAGAAAACTCTAAATTACATATACACCTTACCTCTAAGAGGACTGATTTGCAGACAGTGTTTGTTCCCACCTTCACACTGCAGCTGTGCTGTAGATTTGGACACATGTACCACCCTGGTTGTAGGCGGCACCACTTGTAAACATGTGCTTTTGTCACTACTTTGCCGTAAACTGAGCGAAAACGACACTCCTCACTCTGAACTCTCCCATCAGAGGATGCCTTTTTAGAATTAAAAGTGTTTACAGTTCATTTTGATGTTTCTTGTTTCTTGGTAATATACATTGATGTTGGGCCTGTGTGAAACAAAGCAGTCTAGATTAAAGGGAAACACATGCTGTTAGGAGCCAATTGCCTCTATTGTTTACAAAGGTAGTCTGCTGTGATTCACCTCATAATCCTCCCTTCCCCCTCGTCTTCATCTTCACACTACAATTTCTGACAGTGACAGAGAAACCTTTTGTCAAGGGACTGAGTGAATGTCGCCCCCCCTCCCTGAGAAATACATCTTCTCAAGCAGCTTTTCTTAAACATTTTGAACAATTCAAGTGAGTCTTTTTTAAAGATTCATCAATGCAAGTAACGTGCCAACAGGACATGCCATCTACCCGTGTCTTTTACTTGCTCTTGAAGGGAAAAGCAAGCCCAAGCATGTGCCCTCCTTTCCCTACCCTCCACCCTCCTTCTCCCCTCGCCTCAGCCTCTCTCCCTATGTGGGTGGCCATTGAAGCAACTGGTAGCAAAAGCACCACAGGCAGCTCAAGCAACAGCTGTGAAGCTCAAGAAAGACTGCTGCTGGCGACACAGACTTCAAAATGCAAAAAAAAAAAAAAATAAATCAGGCCGTTGAGGTTGTGTAATGCCTCTAAATACTGTGTTTCCGTTAAGGAAATTTAGTGAAAGTGACCTCATTGAGGGGTTGGATCATCACTTGGAAAAAATGACAGTGGTGGACAAAATACATGAAGTTTACAGTGTGTTTTTACCAGTTTTTTCTTGAACTGTTATATTCCTGGTGAAATATGACAAGGTAATATTATTGCAGACTGGTGAAGAAAGCTACTTAGTAGAAAAGGTATCATTGTGAACCTGATAGTTGTGCTTTTGGTGAGCAAAGTTACTTTAATTTAGGGAGATAAAGTTAGTTTTGCTGCAGGAGAAAGAGATCCGTCCCCCCTGTGGTATTTTAAATAGCCATTTGAGTCTACCACAACATCCACACCATCACAAAAGAGAGCAGCACAGTCCTGTTACGCATTCTTTAGCCCTCAGTCACAGGTTGAATAGGAAGTCTTAAAGCCAACTCGGGCTTCTACTCACACAGATGGTCATAGCTCCTGCCCCCATTCTTCCACAGAAGGGACGCCAGCAGAGGCAAAGATGAGGGGAAAAAAGTTTCTGCTGTCTTCCTCCTCCTCTCCTCACTCTGCTCCAGGACACATTCTTTGACATGTCCCAGTGGTGGGAACGTCTTTCGCCTTAAAAAACACCATTCAAACACTCCAAAAACAGATAATCCAGGCACGGGGAGAGAGTGTAAAGAAGTGCTGTCACTACCGGCAAACTACGTGCTGTCCGACCCATGAGCACAGATTAGTACTTGTCTCTTTCTCTTCCTCCCTCTTTATTCTCCTCTCTCTCCTCCTGGGGTGAAATCTGAGCCGAGCTCTCTCATTGGCTCAGTGGCGTGGTCACGTGATAAAAGGGCCAAGACCCAAAACTTTAAATCTGTCCTGCAGGAGGATAGAGCTTGTAGCGTGGAGGTTGGTCTGAAGGGAAATATGTTTTACTTCAAATGTAGCAGCATTAAAAGAAAAAAGGTTACAAGGCTTAGAAAAGATTTATTCCCTGGATAATGTTTTTTTATTTTTTATTTTTTTTTAAGATTTTGCATTAAATATGATACATAGCATAAAACAATAGTATTTGTAATTTATGATAACATTAATAGAAATGTTGCTGGTTCCAATTTTTTAATTGTTAGAATGTGATGTTCTTTTGCTATATATGATAGTAAACAAACATATTGGGGTTCTGGACTGTTGGTACAAAACTATTAACCCAGATGACTAGAAGGCCTGAAGAAAATTTAATTAGCTTTTTTTTTTTATTTTATTTTTTTAAATAAGCACCATATAGCAAAAAAACTATAATGAAATGCATACCTGGCAGGTTAAATTATGTTTAATCTATCTGTCTGTTGTTCGCTACTTTCTTTATAACGTAAACTTCCGTCACAATCATAATCTTCAATTAAATATCTGAATCATATAAAAGTACAATAAAAGAGTCAAATAGAAAAATTTTACTTTTCACAGTTATACATGATGCAAATACATTTCTTTCTTTACTTACAATGTTTGGCACAGTGTTTAACTTGTATACTGTACAAAATATAGGCAACATTAAATACAAATTTGTCTTCTCTTTTAACTACTTCTTCCTCCTGAAGCCATGGAAGGTACTTTAATATTACATCCAGTAGTTTTAAAGAGAGATATTTGAGAAATATTAATGGTGAATTGTGAGTGAAGAGGTACAAATATAGTGGCTTATAAACAGATCAAAAATTAACAATGGACCCCTGTCAGAATCTTTATTTCAAGATTTCAGCTTTAGATGGTTTTGCCACTTTCATAAACAAACTTCTTGATGTTGTCATCTATCCAGTCGCTGAAGGCAGAAACTCGGGTGAACACTGAGGGCTTCTTGTCTTTGATGCAGCCCTGAGCTCCAAAGCTCACAATGCCGTGTACTTCCCAGGTTGGGGTTGATCCACCAGTGCTGCAGGCCAGAGGACCTCCTGAGTCACCCTATGGGAGAGCAGGATGAGGAAATTGGCAAAGATTTACTTATGATGCATTTAGGACATTTTGATTTTGGCAACCTCTACAAATTAGAAGTTGTAAAGGTCAGTCTTTATTAAAAACCTGACGGGGTTTTCTTAAACCAAATGTCAGTGCTGTGTTTGATGAAGCTTTCCCAAAGTGTAAAACTTTTCACTGCTTTCCACAGCACCACATTTCTAATCATACCATGCCCCTGCTTGCATAGCTGCTCATTATGGCGAACAAATAACGCTCTTGCATCCTTTTGTCCAATTATGCCTGTAATCTGGGAGGCAGCCATTTGCAATCAAGGCTGAATGACCACAAACAAAACCGTTTGCAGGGTTGTTACATAAAAGACAAGGCAATCGTGAGAGGCCAGCACACTTATATAATATGTGAAAATGGCTTGAGGTGAATTTTCAGTAATCCGGTACCATCCTTTCTTAATAATTTTCAGTGTGTCGTTATATTTTTTCTTGAATGTGTCTTCTAACCTGGCAGGCTGACTTAAGCTCATCTGGGGACTCGTATCCAGCGCAGATCATGGAGGGCCTCAGGGTGTCCCACCAGTAAGCAGGCTTACTGCAGGTCTGGAAGTCAATAATAGGAAGGGCTGCCTGATTTAGCTTCTCAGACACTACAGGAAACAGGTTACCTAAGGTAGAAGGGAAGAGTAAAAAGTTTAGTTTGCAAGAAGTGAGAAATTGACACATTTACACCAATAAATAGACGTCAATAAGAACAATACTGAGCAAAAGAAGGTTAGAGTCATAATTTTACACTCCAGTGTCACAAAGGAGCTTAGCTGCTGTTACCTCTTATTACTGGGGTCGCATTGCAACTACAGTTCTTTTACAGCAAGCTGTAATGTATGACTACTTGTACCTTTCTCGTCTCCCCAGCCAGTAACGAAGCATGACGTCCCAGCAGGCACCACAATTCCGGGTTTCGGCAGACAGACTGGGCTGATCTCCCTCGTCATGTTAACAGGTTCGGCTAAATGCACCAGGGCTATGTCGTTGGTGATGTCAGTGTTATCCTGCTCGTAGACAAACCCGGCGTGGCGGATGATGCCGTCCACCTTGTAGCATTCCTCTGCTGAGGGAACATCCATGGAAGAGTTCATGTGGTGCTTCCCCAGACACATGCGCCAGAAGGAGGGTCTATTCAGTGGGCTGTAAAAGTAGGCAGAAGATAAATGTAAAGGAGAAAACTTAAACTACAACAGCTTTGTAAACTTACAGCTATTGTGCAAGCTGTTATTGTTCTTGTTGAAAGACAGTGTTTCTCACAGCTGCACCAAACCGGCAAAAACTGATTGTATTGGCCACATGGGGGCAACAGAAACAAGTTTTTTTCTTTTAAGTTTACATCGTAAACATTTTCTCATTTTCACATCTATTCAATTTCAGTTTAGTTCTCTGTTATTAATGTAGTGCCATCTCAGGGCACTTCACATGGTAGAGACAAGACCTTACAATATTACATTATCAAGAGAAACCCAACAAATCCAACAATTCCCTTTAGGATCTTGTAGTTGCAGAAGAAGAACATATCCCATATTCTCTCTTTTTTTTGCTCTGTTTTTGTGTCTACTAACTACTTAATGAAATACTTGGCTATTTCGCTGCCAAATACTCCACAGTGCCATGAGAGCACTGAAAATATAGCAAATACCAAAGATGTGAACTGTACACCTAAACAGTGAGCTGAAATTTGGCTGAAAAGCTGTAAAGCTGAGAGGAGCAAAAGATTCTGTGACTGCAGCTTCTTTAACATTGTGAAATTGCTTTCACACAATCATTTGATAACAGTTTGATTTCAAAAATATCAATTAAGACCACTTTAAAGAACTGAGGACCGTGTAGATTGGATGTAATGCAGGTAGGTTTACAGTTATATCTTACAACATGAAACAGTGAGCAGCAGTGAGGATCCATTCCTCGTGAATCAGAGAGCCTCCACAACCATGCATGTAAGGAATGGGCAGCATTAGTGTAGCCTGGGGAAGACACAGACATTTTTACAAAACTATCTTTTCTCTGTCATTGATTGTGGGCACAAACAGGAATTGACGTTACCTGCATGGAGACTTGCCAAGGCCAGGAGTGGGGGATCGCCTCTACCCCATTAACCACCCTCAGGGTGTCTGTGCTGGGTTTCACTTCTGGGTTGCCACAATTTTCTGGCCAATCTAGGAAGAGAAAATGCACAATTTAAGCTGTCGTCTGTTATCAGTCATTTAGCTTATATACAAATCCAAAACTTTAGAGGTCCAATATTGTGCCCCTTTTAACCAAATGAACAAAAGTCTCACGTCCCCAGAATGTGTCTTTCAATTTTCTGCGCAAAGATGGTACACCTCACAGTATGTTTTATTGTCTATGTCTTAAAATGCAGTAGACCTAGTCCTTGTTTATTGGTTTCAAATCTATTTTAAAGTTTTCACCATCACTGCATTTCCCTCGGCTTTATACAGAACACCAGTGAACAAAGCTAATGGTAGTGTTAGCCACATTAGCCACACAACAGGCTAATACTAAGGCTTTTCCTGTTGTTTTCGTGACATTGTAATCTAAAATAAAAGTAATCCAATGGATCTTCAGCTCCTGACACGCTAGGAGTGGATGAATACACTGGTGTTCACTCTTGCAGCCGACAGCAGAATATTTGGTGTGCTTTGCTCAGGCCTCAAACGTTTTAGAGGTTGCAGAAGCAGCTCTAGAAAGTAAATAAACCTGGTGGATGCTCATTCTGAATGACTTACAAACAATGGAAAATGAGAGGGCAGCATTATATGTAGTTTGAGACTGACAACTATTGATGACTTAGTTTGAATGTGGCAGTTGAATAAAATTTTTACTGGCTTGTAAAGCTGGGAGGCTGTCTAGTTGTGGGGGGAGCTTGAGGAATGGCACAAGTAAATGTCCTCATACAAACTGACCAAGTGACCAAACGTCCTGTTTTCCCAGGACATGTCCTGTTTTCACGTCCTGTCTTGGCCGTCCTGGTTGTTTTTTATAAAGTGACGAAAATGTCCTGGTTTTAAATAAATATATTGAAATGATAAGGCATCTTTGACTAAATTTCGAGTATCATTTGAGTATCTCATTGCCGGGCCGAGTGTCCTGGTTTACAGTAATCAAAATATGGTCACCTTAATACAAACACAAAATACAACAATGACGTAGTTTAACTATATAGCATGTTTAAAATCAGAAATCATATAATCTGGGTTTATGTTCTTGGCTTGCGAAAGTTGATTGAGGCTTCATTTTAGAAGTGGGAAATCAAAACATGTCATATCACATCAGAGACACATCAGAGGGCTGATCTGAGTCAAACTAGGCCAACACTCACCGATGAGGATGTCGTCCCAGGGGTTACGAGGTGGAGGAGCTAAAGTTGGGACAACAGTGGCATCAGTGGTCCAGTAACCACGAAAACCGCTCTGCTGATCGGCTCCGTTACTGAGGAAGCGAATGATGACTGTATTGCTAGCAATGTTGAAGGAGGACGGAGGGGCAAAGCCACAGAATCGACCTACAGAACAGACAAGAAATGAGAGCTTTTACCAATGTTCAATACGCCAAGTAAGACACTGATACTAATAAACGGTACCATAAATACACAGGAGAATAGATATTTAGGGACCAACCTAGTGATGTCATA